GAACAAGCATACATATTAGAAAGTATGTATATATTTTTTTTTCTTTAATTCTTGAAAATATCCGAATTTGAAACATTTTGTATAACCTCACCTCTTCTAAATATGAAATCAAATGCTGTTATAAAACAAAAACATTTTGAGTAATTTACTGGATGACAACTTTATACCCCTATGTGAGTAAGTAATACATTTTTGAATACTATAGCCACCTCTGTTTTAAAGTAAAATGAAGCTGTAGGTACAGGTTTTATCTAATAAAAGTTCACATTGATAACAATGGAAAGAATATGAGTATTTTCTGAGGGTATGTCCAGACCTTTTCTCTGTTCAATTAGTCTCCCCAGACCCAATTACAGCAGAGGTAGCTGTAAATATTTAAAAAGTAAATAGAGAAAATGTGTGAAAATGGACATAGAGAAGTGAGAAGCCATTTTGCATCTGATGTCAAAACAATGGACTTCCTAATTTTGCAGCCATTTAACCCACTGATGGGTGATGGTCTGTTAAAAGTTCATTTAGCAAGTCTAAATAACCCTTAGGTGTACATGTGTGTACTTTTGTTTGTTCTATATATTTCTATGTTGTTTGGTGATCGACCCACCAAGTAAAGTCATAGCCTATGTATTTCTAAGCCTATTATTAAATGACAAAAGTTGATCACAGTAAAAAATTAAACCATATTATGTAAAAAACAAATATGAGAATGCAATAAACACATTACAGGTTAAGAATATTAAGCATGACACAATTTGTTTTGAACTATAGAAATAGTCAGGCTCTATGGTGCCTTTCACAGTTCCTGTGGAGCAAGATTGAGTGGTAAAATGTAAAAAAAAAAGATGATAGTATTATACTACAATAGTATTTTTACTTTTGTAATCTTACTTGTTCAGCAAATCAGGCAATCCATTTAACTTGATTTAAATAGCTTTAACACAATTTCCTACTCACAGCTGAGCCTCAACTGGCTTAGCAAGATAATCCAAATTGGGTTGTTTACCACCAAACAGTTGTTACCGTGTAAGCAAGATAACAATCCTTTCTGACTTATTTTTATTATGTCAATTTCAGTAGGGCATTTTCAAATTCTTTGAAAATGTAGTGGCAATAATTACCTATTAGAGCACCCCACACTGTTTCAGCGTTTAGAGATGCTCGCCCAGCAAAGACATTCAGTTTGTCTAAAACATAGATGAAAGGAAGTTGTTAGTGAGTGCTTTTACAATTCTAACATATTTCCATGCATTACATTGTGTAAAGTGTATTTTTATACTCACATCTCTCAGAAGAATCTTGATTTGGGTAACCCTCACAGTCATGATGATCAAGACTGATTGTGAGAGTAAATACCTCATTCTCAGTAAATTGTAGAGTATCATTTCCTGTCAAAAATGAATGTAAATATCAGGATTTTACCATCACAAGTTTTACATTGTATTTTATAATTGATATTTCAAATCTTTAACCATTTTTAAATGTTTTAAGTATTGTATAATTAGAAAACACACGAGAGTGAAGCGGCATTGTCCATTTTCATTGAATGTGTTGAAACTAAAAGGCTTTAGTTTGGCCTACAGTTGAACAGCTGTTTTTACAAAGCCCATTCATCCACACTGAAAGGCACAATGACCGACAGAGCATTCACAACAAAGCTAGCAAGATTCCTAACTGTAATTCAGTTTTAAATGTGTTATAACATGAACATTTCCTCTTAAATGTCATAATGATACATAGAATTTACCAACAATTGTCTGTTTATACAGTTTTGTAACTACATTAGTTAACTAAAATAGTCTAAACCAACTAACGTACTCACCAGAAGGGTAGTCTGGAAATAAAATGGAAAAGTATCTTTTGAATGCAGCATCCAGAACAGAACAGCTGTGTTGTTCAGTCAGTTGTCCTCTGTATCCAAAGCTGAAAGTTTGGGGTTTTAGTTGGTATCTCTCTGTTGAGGTGATACAAGTTTGTGGTAATGGCCACACACTCTGTACTTTGACTAAGCCAATCTGTTGTATTATAAATAGTAGGAAAGTATAGTTTAATAGAGTGCTGTATCCAGGATTTTCTGAGCACATGACTTTCATATTCAACATTTCGCCTTCCTGGCCAACTAAGCCAGTCAGGTGCATAGGTACATGTAGTCACACGAGGTAAACAACAGGCAGCCTACCACTATCTCCCCAATGATATACATAATAATAGTGGACATACTGCTACTAGGGCAGCCTCCAGAAGGTTTTCAAAGGGGAGGCCAGATGGGGGCCATCAGAACATAAAAGCCATAGAATAACAAGTTAGAAGTATGGCATAGTAATCATATGCATCCACACCCCACACATATATATCCTTCTTTCTCATAACAAAGTCTGCAGACATTTTTCATCAGTTTTATTTATTGCACCAATGATCTGCATTGGATGGCGCACATGACGTGAAATAAATATTTATAAACTTAAAACCGAAGCCAAGAGTAACGAGTAACGTTTGTTTTAAAAATGTAAGGAATAGAAAGTACAGATACTTGTGTGAAAATGTAATGAGTAGAAGTCAGGAGTAGGGAGAAAAATAAGCAATGGAGTAAAGTATAGATACCTAAAAAGTGTACTTAAGTACAGTAACAAAGTATTTGTACTTCCTTACTTGACACCGCTGATTTTTATACATGCAAACTTTTAGCTGATAAGGCCCTAACACTATTATACCTTACAACTAATTTAGAAACCCTCAAAAAACAATGTCTGGCTTTGTAAGTTGCTTATAGGTTAATTATAATAATTTAGTTAACTTTAGGTATGCCTCAGGAATCCTTTGGCATCTATTTTTAGGCCTAAAATACATCCTTAGCAAGTAAATACCTCTTTAGTAAGGATGTATTTTAGGGGGAAAAAATTATAATAAACTGCTTGTATGATTAAATATAAAATTTTAATAATAACTAACATCACACACAGACAACTGTAGATACCCAAAGGTAATATAAACACTATGGGAATGTCAAGCCAACATACCATTCAGAGAAAAGAAGTATTAGTATGCCACTCAGCAAAGATGAAGTCAATACTCTGAAAGAAATATAAAAAGTCAGATTGCAGTTTGCAAAGCTTACGGGTTGATATCCAAAATATCTGATTAAGTTTGAAGTTTCAAAGGCATTTCTAAGAAGTAAATAGGTTGAAAATTATCTCAGAAGCATTTTTTCATCTTTTAATTTTGGTACAAAAAAATAAAAAATAAATAATGATAATAATAATAATAACAATAATAATACTGTATATTATATATATATATATATATATAAATATGATAATATATAATAATTATACATATATTATTATATATGTAATAATATATATAACATATTGTGTGTATATATATATATATATATATATATATTCATAAAGTAATCTTTGGTTGGAGGAACGTTGGTCGTTTGGTGCATGGCGCGTGTTTTGAAGCTGCTCTGCTTGTGGAGAAATGTCCTGGGCCGTGAGTAGTGAGGAAACAGGAAGCGATTCTTGTGGGATGGAAGAGGGAAATAGTGACAATGAAGGTTGGAAGATAGCAGCATCAAAAAATGAGAAAAAGCGGAAAAAACAGAGATCAGTTCAAGGGGAATCTAGTTCAGAACAATCCAGTGATGATCATTCCATACATTCCACAGCACAACAAAATGAATTCAAAGTCATATTCAAAGTCGTTAATCAGGCAGACTCTTTTACAAACTGGAATCCGGTTCACTTAACAAAAACCATCAATAAACTTGTTGGAGAAGTCAGAGGTGCCAGAATTCTGTACAGTGGAGACCTGCTAATTAACTGCAGAGACAGCGCCCAGCAAGGCAAAGCAATACGTATTAACAAAATTGACGGGATAAGAGTTCAGTGCAGCCTAATGGAGAACAAAAAGATCAGCAGGGGAGTCATTGGAGGAGTTCCTCTGAAAATTTCTGAAAAAGAGATTCTGGAAAACATAAGCGGTGCAAAAGTAAAAGAAGTAAAACGGTTAAAAACAACAAGAAACGGAGAAAGATCTGACAGTTTATCTGTACTAATTAAATTCGAGGAAGAGCAATTACCAAGCAAAGTATTCATCGGTTACATCAGTTACAATGTCAAAATCTACAATCCACCACCATTGAGATGTTTCAAATGTCAAAAATTCGGACACATTGCAGCAGTTTGTAAAGGGAAACAGAGGTGTGGAAGGTGTGCAGGAGAACATGAATATGGTAAATGTGGAAAAGAAGCTAAAATAAAATGCTGTAATTGTGGTGGAGAACATACTGCTGCTTATCGCGGCTGTGAAGCAAGCAAAAGGTCTGAAGAAATAAAAAAAATGAAATTTGAGCTTGGAATAACTTATGCTGAAGCTGCAAAAAGGATCCCATCTCAGTCAGAAAAACCCAAACCTACAGTTCAACACACGGCAAATTTCAAACCTCTAGAGAAATCTCCAAAAATTGATGAAGACTCACTAATTGTTAAAAAGACAAATTTTGTTCTTTTCATGGTGGAAGTGATTAATTGTACTGCTCAGACGACAAAAAAAACAGAAAAAATCAAAATAATAGTGAAGGCTGCAGAAAAATATCTGGATGTTAAAGATATGAACTGGGAGATGGTTGGAAGCATGATGGAAAGACCAATGGGACCATCAGAAACTGGCAGAGGTACGATGACCTAGAGTAAATTAAAATTATACGGGCAAATGTAATTTAGTATAATTTAGTATTATGTGGTTTTAAGTTACACAGGTTATTTTATTGTATTTTTTTTTTTTTTTTTTTTTTGGGGGGGGTGAATCGTTTCCTGTTTCCTTGCTTTACTCCATATCAGTTGGTGGCGGTAATGCACATTTCACAAGTTTGCCAACCGCCATAAAATCTCATAAGAAGAAGAAGAAGTAATCTTTGGTTCAGATCAAAATACTGCATATCTCTTCACATTTAATTTTCTAGTTTGTCTGACGTAAGGCCGTCGTCAGTTGGTGACGCTGCTCCTCTTTGTTGGCTTAGCAGCTGCGACGTTTTGTTGTCATTTTCGCTGCAGCTGAAAAACAGGCTCGGATAATTTTGGTTTTCGTATTGTTCCGCCATCGATATCTGGTGTTTTCAACCTCGAGGTGTACTCGTCGTAAGACGGTAAACACCCTAGGGATGGACTCAGACGAGGGCTATAACTATGAATACGACGACGAAGACGAATGTAGCGAGGACAGCGGCGAAGTGGAGCCCGACGACGACACCCTGGAGCTCGGGGATGTGGAGTTGGTTGATCCGGTGGTAGCCGGTGGGGAGCGAGATGAGGGCGGCGAAACTGGTGTAGGTGGCCACGGTCCTGGGGAGGAAGAGGAGGAGGACTACCGTTTCGAGGTTTTAACTGCCGAACAGATCCTCCAGCATATGGTGGAGTGTATCAGGGAGGTCAACGAGGTCATCCAGGTAGGTATTGTGGAGCACCGTCGTCAGGAAAGACCGGGGTTCATGATTTTGTGAAGCATTAACAGGCCACGGACGATAGCCGTTAGCAGCTAGCCTTGTAGTGGTTAACTTAGTAAAAGGTAACAGATTCAGAAGATTAATACATGTTAAAAATATTTTTCAATTATTATAAGTTTCTGCTTCTTTTTACTATTTTAGTTTGATGGAGAATTTTATAAATGGCTTTAAATCTATAAATTAAAATAGAAGTTTGGTTACAGGAAGTAGTCTAATCCCCATTGAGAAGTTGGCAGCTACGACTGCTAAGCTAATGTTAGCCTACTTGCTACTTAGCCATCTTCTAAAGCTATGCTAGCTGAAGAAGCACATCGTTTTGAATTGCAGATTTAGTTAACATTATGTGTGAGCTTCTTCGAGGCAAAGATTGAGATTAACTAATCAATTGAAATGTGACCCTTTTTTATGTAGTGCACATTAACTACCGCCATAGTATTTTGATGTTTGTCCAAGAGGTAGTTGGACATTGTGTAAGTTAGCAAGTTATCAGCTATATTTGTTAAATAATGGTGAACGAGCATTTCCAATGTGATTAAATGCTCATTAAATACCAGTATTTATCAAAGTTGTTTGTGAAATAACCGTCTCCAACCGTCTCGCATTAGCTTGGCAGAGATCAACGTTGTAGCACGGAGCCAACTGAGGCCTCCATTTCCTCTCTTAGGTTCATTTAAGTTTATAGAGGGAAAAAATATCGTAATTAATTAATCATTCAGTTTTCTATTACCGTAAACTGGCGTTTTAATTCGTGGTTCATAACATAGGTCACACGTAGCTTGACATATGTTAAAGGTGACAATGCATGCCTTCTTTCCATTCAGCACTGGCCCTTTTGACATTTTCATGCTGTAGAAATGTAAGTGCTTTCTTTTGGATAGTATTAATATTCAAACGTAATGATTCAAGTACTGACAGTGTATTGCTTGGAATTATTAAAAATAGTTGGAACAAAATGTCGGACTAACTTGGCTAGACATGAATAAAGAATATACACATGGAGAGGCCACCTGGAAAGGCTGCAAATTTCACACTTGTCACTGTAGGTCCTTAAACAAGACCATTAATCCTAGATTGCTCCCCATGTTCTACATAGTGGGGCAGCACTTCACATCCCTTAGGGATGAGTTAACTCATCAGACCAATTTCCCCACTGTGGGGATATAAAGGGATCTTTCCTTTCCCTTCCGAATGACATCTTATCCTTTCCGGACATGGCTATTAAAAAGCTGTGGATTATTCATTACAATCTTTTTTTATGGGCTCAATATCATTTTCTGACAAAAAGATAACTATTCTTTGATACAGTTTCAGTTAATAACATTAAAGCAGTAATTTACATTATGTTACATACGATATTGTGCAGAATAACCTATGTTAATGTTATTTTTCTTATGAAATACAAATTCAAACCAAAAAAAGCCAGTGATGTTCATTGTTGTTCATTGCTGCTTTTCATAATGCTAGTTCTGCTCTGGTTCTGCATTTTTGTTTAAAGTCCTTGTAATATTAATCAGAAGTTAAAAACTTTCACAGGAGTTAATTTTATCACCTAGTGGAAATGGATTTTACCGTGTTACAGAGGTTTGTAGACAAACATGTATATTTTATATTGTGACTATTGATCTACATGAGTCTTGTAAATGCTTATCTGCAAAACAAGATATACTAAGAGCTATGCAAAATAGTTTAGTGGATGATATGGCAAATCTTAGATCACAATATGTTTCTTAATTTTAGTCGACAAAATATATTTTTTTGATAGTTGTATAAAAGATAAAGGACTCGGGAAGACTGCCATGTATGCCCACAGTATAATCCTGTACAAACTTTGGACAATTATTTCACTATTTTTATAAAGCTTATCCAGTATTACATCTTAGAAATATTTGTTTTAAAAACACATAAAACTACATAAAACCTGGAACCTCAGTCCGTTAATAAAATATGGTAATCATAGACTGTAATGCATCTTGAAATATCAGAAGTGCCATATCCTCATTACTTAATATGATTATATTGTGATGTATGTATTGTTTTTGAATTATTGTCCACCCCTTCTATAAAGGTATATAATGGCTTGTTTATATGTTTGGGTTAACAGGATGAAATGGCAATATGTGCGAACAGTTGCGCTGGGAATTGGTAAAGGGGAAATTTTAAACTACAGAATCAAACATTGTACATTTTCTTCTTTTTCATCAATTACTATATTATTTTCCTAGTCCTTTGCTGATTTCAAATAGCATTTAAGAACACGTGTATTTCACCAGTGATGAAAATATTCCAAAATAAAGAATAAGTGAATAAAGAAATATTAATTTTATACTTAAATTGATGTTAAAAATGCCTGCGGAATGTAATATTTTTTTACATTTTATTATAAATTTAAAGAAAAAAAAATAAAGCCTATTTTCAGGGTCTTTATACAGTTCAATTTACTCAAACAATTCATTCAGTTTCCTAAACTTATGTGAGTTTAGGAAAGTTTGAAGAGCCAGAGTGCTCTCATTGTACTGATTGATCAAATCAGAGGGCATTCCCATACCATGCTTTCATGTTAACAATTATCAGAAGATGAATTGCAAATATAAATAGCAGCCCAGTATGGCAATAGTTTTGAATAATGGAATTTCTCCTTTAATATAAAAGTACATAGTGGAAACTACATTTATTAGGATATCTGACATTTAACTATTTTAAAACCTGGAAATGTGGAGATGGAGAGAAAAGCAGTTCAACAGTAAAATGAGCAGACACTTTTTGCTGTTTGAAATTTTCTTTCTTGTTTTTTCAGAGACATCGCGTTTGATGAAATACAGCATCTATTTGAAAAATATTAATGACATACAGATTGTAGGTGATTCATAGAATGTCTCAGGCTGCTTAAGAATGTCCGCTCTAACCCCTAAATTCCTCAATAACTATATAAAGCAGGGACTATGTAGTGGACCCTATAGTGAAATCAGTTAACTGACCGTTCCAACAGATGATCACCACTTTCCGCCCCTTGTTGATCATGTAACTCCGCCTTCCCACACGGTGCATGAGCCCTTCTTTGTTATTTTTTGCCAGTCTTGCAAGGAGAGCCCTCCGAGGTATATCTGATCGTCTAATGACCATGGATTCTCACTATTTTTCAAGGTGCATTGTGGGAAATATAGAGTCCACTACATTTTGATCTACTCGATGTTTGAACACTCATTTAAAATGGCCTAACCACTATATAGTGCCCTACACAGGGATTTGTGCGGACAATTGGACACGGCTTCAAGCTTTAAGGTTTCCTACTGGATTAAGGTGATGCTCCCTAATCATACATTTTAGTCTTTTATAGGGGAAAAAGGGCTTGTGGTCTTGTTTTTAGGGTTTTTAGAAGGTATTATATGGAAAATCTGAGAAATGCGAGAGCCACTGAGTAAATTAGCAGAAATCAACCTTGAACAAAGTTTTTGTTGTCCCTACGTGGCATACAGAGACAGGAGACCCATAATATATCTTCAGATCAACATAAAACTCAATCCCTGATAAATTACTGATCCCCACTCTCTAATTTGCATCCAAAAATGGTCACATTCGACAAGGCATCTAACATTTGGATTGTAACAAATAATATTTTGATAAATATCAGGACAGAAAACTGCAGTGCTGAACAATTATAGTTTTTTTGTTGCCGCCGCAGGTGGCCCAGCTTTGACAACTTTAATGTTTATATGTTGTGATACTTTTGAGAGAAGTGTTTAATGTCTGCCATCTTCATCTTGGATGTTTTCAGATTAATGTGTGTGAAAGGCAACATTACAAGTGTCAGTATGTCAAATGATTACAGTATCAGTTTTGCTTCAACAGGACAGCTGTATTTGTGTCATCATGCCGGTTGAATATTCTGGTGAAAAATAATTTAGTTAATTTTTGGGCAATGCTGCTAAATGTAAGTAATCTTTGTCTTGAGAAGTAATACCATACACTTGACTAAAGTAATGCCTTGTGATTTCCCTATTATGGGACAATAAAGGGATTTTCTATTATAATCAACAAAGCCCCACGTCTGTTATAACTAGTAGTTTATACTGGGTGTCAAGAAACAACTAATGGTTAATGTTGCATTAGTTGCACTGGTTCTAGTCTAAAAAGTATTGTTTATATAAACAATATGATAGAAATTCTCTAAATGTGTTCGAACTGCTGACTGCCCAAGGTGGTGTTCTTCACAGTTTGGAGTTGTGTTTTTATCAGCACATATTTTTTAAAGACACTTAAGATAAACAACATTAGTACTGTTTATCTTTAATATTGCGAAATCGAATCCCTGCAAATGTTTTTTGGCCTTTTTTTAATGAAGCTTGCTTTATTATAAACATTTTGATTAACAGAAAAACCAAAATGTAAAAACACTTTTTTTCTCTCCTTTAGAATCCTGCAACAATAACGCGCATTCTTCTCAGCCACTTCAACTGGGATAAAGAAAAGCTTATGGAAAGGTAGGAATCTGTGATTTACTCTGACCATTTGCTGCTGTGGTGTTACTTGGTGCCAAGAAATAAAGAATGACAGAGGCACTCCTTGAACATGAATGTTTACATGTTTTGTAACTCTGTCTTTTGTTTGAATATCACAGATACTTTGATGGTAATCTGGACAAGCTTTTCTCGGAGTGTCATGTGATCAACCCCAGCAAGAAGCCTCGGATCCGTGCTCCAATGAACACTAGATCAGCGGCACAAGACATGCCTTGTCAGATCTGCTACCTAAATTTCCCCAACTCGGTGAGTTGCATAGCTGAATCAGCACTGTGCTGAATTCCACCTTTTTAGATGTGGAATATTTTGAGTGAAGTATTAAATAATATTTCCTAACCTAATATTTTTTTTTGTTTAAGATGCATTTATCTTGCTTTATTTATTTTTTTAGAATCACCATATAAAAGATTAGAAGCATTTGTTGGATAAAATAAAAACATCCAAAAAAATATCCGAACTTTGTTCCAGTAACGGTTAAAACAAAATGGTAGAAAGCCATTTTATTATTCAAATACACTTTGTTTGGCTGTTAAGGCAGGCAATTGTTCACGATTTGAAAGCATTTGTTGATTTTGAAATTATTTTGTTTCTAACACATTTATGCAAATATGAAGCAGTTTATTTTCAATGTCGGTTGATGTACTTCAAAATCCTAGTATTAGGTGCTTATTTTATTTTAAATTGAGGACAAAACCAAGTATGTCAGAAAGGTATCATGTTTTATATTAATAAATTAAGAGGACCTGTATCTAAATCACTACAGACAAATATAACAGAGACAAGATTAGGTATTTGTACAAAGGTGATTTTAGGCTGTGCATCCAAACGAGTCTGTCTTTTTGGGTGACCATCAATTTTAGAAACCAGATCTCAGAGCGGAAAACTTTGAAATGACCGGTTTTATGTTTCAGTGCGTACATCCGTTTTCCAAAAGGCAGATTAGACTTCTGCAACCGCACACATCAAATGTCGCTTGGGTCTGGTCGCACACCAGTTTTGCTGCTTCTGCACCGTTGGTCTGGAATTTCTAGGGACGCACAGCAGTTTCCCGTCTAAGCGCAAGAGGGAAACTATTCGAGAAATCGCGAATGTCTGAGGCATCATACAAGTGGTTGTACTTCCGAACCTCGACAATTAACCTTTTGTCGTAGTTGTCCATTATAGTTGTTCCTCGGTTTTTTTAAAATGGTGCGTCCCGGCACCGAATTGAGAAGGATGACCACACAGACAGCCGGAAAGGTGAACCAAGGACCAATCACAACTGCTTTTTGTCTGCACACTTCTGCTTGAGGTCTGTGTGGGTTTGCGACCGTCCGACGCATAGTCAGGATTTTTTTTAGGTGTGCGACGACGGTTGCAGAACCTCTGCTGGGGTGCGTGGTCGCGCACAGAGGCAGATTTTACGGTTGCAGAGGTTATGCGTCACAAGCATAAATTGGCCTTAACAGTTACGTCATAGCTTTAGCCCCTTTTGTAACACATGTCTCTTTGTCGTCATTTTGTTGTGTTTGCCTCGCATGAGATGTCTGCACATGCGTAGTGGTTTGTCAGTGATTTTGTGGGGGTGACTAATGGCCTCTAAAGGGCCAAGCATATGTACAGTTGGGTCATTATTGGTGCTGTGTACACCTGTGTGGGCACGTCGTTTTTCCAAGCCTTTTATGAAAATGTACCATGTTCGGTTTTGTGTGGACTTGGCCTTAATTAGCTATAAGCACCATGTCTGTAAACCAGCCAAATGGCTTCCTCTACCCAAGCAGTTTGCTTCACTAATAACCTGCAAAATCAGCTTGAAAAACTGTGGTTATCTCTAAAAAGCAAAAATGAGTGGTATTTGGGTCAAGTGGAAAGTTTTAAGTAAGATGGCTACTGTATTTAATCAGTGTTTATGAACCAGCTACTCAACTAAGGACAATCTTAAGCTTCTGTTTCATCTGAGAAGATGAGAGGAAACCAAGCTTAAGATTTATTTAACTCTAAATCCTCCAAAGAACATCTGCTCCAGCACTAAAGTCTACCACAAACTTTAAAGTAGCATTATGACCAATCCAATTGTAATAATGTTGTTTATAAATTTATTATCCCAAATAAGAGCTGGAAATATGTTTTGTTTTAATGTGAATACTTGAATTGGTCAAGAAATGGGTGCATTTTCTAAATCAATACTAGTCATCCTTACACCAATTTGTCAGTGGAGGTGATGTTCTCTAATTTAAAACAGTAAAAAGAAAAATCTTAAGATTTAGGGAGGATTCTGACATAATGCATAATTTCTTCTCATTGCTAGCCCTTCTTTGTAGTGGAATACATGAAAAACTTTGTTCCTGTGTTTGAGTATATGCACAGGTACCAAAATATGAAAACATTTAGTTTGTCAGAGATATGAACTGCCAGGTTCCTCATACAAGCGACTGAAAGGAGTTTACTCCATAGTGTGTCTGGGCTCTCCCTTAGAGATAGGGGGAGGAGTTCAGTCATCTGGGGAGGACTCTGAGTAGAGCTGCTGCTCCTCCACATTAAGAGGAGCCAGTTGCAGTGGCTCGGGCATCTGATTAGGATGCATCCTGGACTTCTCCCTGGTGAGGTTTTCCTGGCATGTCCCACTGGGGGTAAGCCCAGGGGGAGATCCAGGGCACGCTGAAGGAACTATGTTTCTCGGCTGGCCTGGGAGCACCTTGGGATTTTCCCCAGAGGAGCTGGCCCAAGAGGTTGGGCCTCCCTACTGAAGCTGCTACCCCCGCGACCCGACCCCGGCTAAGTGGAAGAAGATGGATGGATGGGTGGATGGATAACATGAACTGACTGTCCTAATAATGTTAACGGAACCTCTGAAACCCTAAAAGGCAATGAATATATTTAGGATTTCACTCCTATTTACCTCAGTGTGGTTTGCTAGCTTAATAAAGGAGTAAATACAAATGAGAATTTTTCTGCCAAAGCCAAGCTTTTATGGAAATTGAATCAATATTAAGTGCTAGTAGTGTGAGTTACAAACAACCTTTTTCTTAAAAAGATTCATTTTGTCATTTGTTTTAAGATGTTAACAAATAATTTCCACTTCCACTCCGTTTTGATCTAAATTATTATAAATGTTATTTATTTTGGCATAACTTTACATTTTGAAGAACAGTTTTTTTCTGAACAGTTTGCCTCTTGTTAATGACTTAAGCTTGATTTATGCTGAAATCGTTCACGAGGTTTGCGCGGCCATATTACATAATTTTGGGCCCCATACCCCTCCGCGTGAAATCTGTGCGGACAGAATTTCCACCTGGAGCACCTAGGAAAACTTGTAACTACGCGGACAGAGCCGTACAGAAAACCGTACAGCAGGAGCGTGCGCTGGCAAGGGTTCGTAAATGTAATCATCTACAGATGTCCCATGATTTTGCTGTTAAATATCACCACTATTAACACATTGAGGGGAAAAAACTTCAGGAAATAAATGACCGTCCCTCTCAAATAGGATGATGAGGCTTTGGTAAAGTTGTATACGGCTGTGTTTTGTACTTCCTCGTGTAGTGTGGTGGTGTCAGCTTACATCTTGTGAAAAAGCATAGTATAAATGCTGCAGACGCGTTGACGGGCGGGCAGCTCATTTTCCTCACAAAACTTCAAGCATAATGAGCCTCTCAGGCCACTCTCATATAGAAGGCATATGCGGTCATATCAGACATAATACAATTTGATAGTATTTAAAATGTAATCCCAATTTTAGAGAACAACATTTTCAAACTGCAGATGCATTCAATTTTGTCAAGTTACATTTAAGATGAGTAAGGCACTAACTTTCTCACTCCAGCCCTTGTAGCGGGCGCTAAGTCAAGGGAAGAGAGTAGCAGCTAGCACACAGATTCATGTCAATAAGTAAGACCATTTCTACTCAGCAGTAACGGTAAAGTCCTGCAACAATTCACTCTAAATAAGCAAGCTTTCAAGGTCATGAAAATAATGAAAGCCCAGTGTAAAACCTCTTCATGCTTTTGGTTAGTTCAAAGGAGAATCAGAATATAATTTCAATCACAATTTAGGCTACAAAAAAAGCCCAATTTTGATATATTGTTTGGAAAACCATTCAGCTCTAAGTAGCAGAAACTGCTATAATAAAGGCTGTTGTTCATTGTTGGATGTTAATTTTCCTCTTCTTTCATATCACTATGATGTGGTCATGATAATGATAAAGTTCTGTTTGCCCAAAAGTCCAGTAAAAGCACAGACACTGGCACCATATGTATTTTTATTGGTTTGTGGCTTTATTGACAGTTAGCTGCTGTGTGGTACCTACATTCTTCTGCACACATTGGTCCCTTAGATTTCTTGAACAGTTTAGGCAGAAGTCTGATGGCAGATGCATTTACGTGCAAGTGAAGCAGAAATAGAAAAATTAAAAAAGATTGCAGCAAAAAAAAATCAGAACTGAGCATCAAGAGTTGCTGTGTGAAGGTAGCCTAATGTTGCATGTTTTAACTGTTGAATTTCTTTTATTTTTTTCTCAGTACTTTACAGGCCTGGAGTGTGGACACAAGTTCTGCATGCAGTGCTGGGGGGATTATCTGACTACCAAAATCATAGAAGAAGGAATGGGACAGGTACCATTTTAAAATGCATTTTTTTGTGATTGACTGATCAAGTCTTTCTTAACAGAGATTAGTATACCAATTTCTTTAGCTAATACTACTTTCTCTTTTTTGATTAGAGATGCTGAATTTAATTATTACATTTTTAGTACAATTGAGCAGAAATAAAAGAACATTGATTTTACCACAGTTTCTTTGATGGATATACTTAAAAGAAAATAAAATACTTTCAAGATGCCCTGTTTTTATGCAACTAATTTTATTTTTGTTGTTTTTTTAATGTTTTATGCATCAAGGATGCATATTTAAAGACTGTTGTTTAATAGAATTAAAGTATCTCTACTCTGTTAGATAAAACAATACATCTAATAAAGTTGATATCGCTCTTGATCGTTAAAATGATCTTTATGGTTTTTGATGCCTACTAATGATTTTCCTCCTATGCTTCCTTCTCAGACCATTTCTTGTCCTGCTCATAGTTGTGACATTTTGGTTGATGACAACACAGTCATGTGAGTATTTTGGTCATTTTAATTATTGATTGTTATTCAGTAGTGGTCATTACATGTAGCTTATGACTTCATGATGTAGCTAATAAACTACATCACCACAGACTTAATAGTTTGATGTACTTGATGTTTCCTAAGTAAAATTAATATCAATTTTAAAATCAGGCAAAGTAGCTGGTAATATTAAGATACGACATGTGCAAAGTTTTGCCTTTTTATTGAAGTTGTAGATAGATTTTCTTTAGAACATTATGATTAGAGAAATTATAATCCACAGCTCTTTGTGTTAGCTTTTTATTTAACAAGTGTTTCCTAAGCAATAGAATAAGCCTAAAATAAATCTGATGTAATAGGAAATAGTAACTGGCACAAAAGTGTTTGATAACTGTCTTTGCACCTTTGCACTAGTTCTGAAATGACAAAATCAAACTCTGATTTTGACATGTCTGTGGGTGCAGACAGATCTTTACAGCACTATAAGGAACTGTCATTGTGTTTATGCACATCTCTGTTTACTGTGGATCAGGGAGAGGTCTCAAATTGCCACCCCAATTTGAGGACAATCATAAGGATGTTTGTCAAAAGATAAAATCATATCTAGCCTGTTCTTCAAGCCTCTTCTAAACAGAATCTTTCCTCTGTGTTTTTTTGCTTTCCCCCTTTTGCTTATTTTGTCTTTGTCTGATGAAATCATTTCTATTCAATTTCAAGTGGTTCACTCAGCACTTGCAATTTTTTAGTCTACCTTAAATATAAACCTTCCAGCATTATAAGTATCAAAAGATGCATATAAGATCAAAAGATGAATGAAACTTCTTCATACCCCTTCCTCCAGTAACTCTTTGTTCGCTTTATTTTGATTTCCATAAACATAAGCTGTGTCTGAATGTCTGCCCTACCCTCTATGCAGAGTGGGGACTGTATAGTGGACTTTATATTGCACTCGGTTAACTGACCTGTCGGACAGATGATCACTGCTTTTTGCTCTGGCACGGATATAGTCTTATGATTGTGTCCGTCTTTTCTCTGTTTCCATGTATTTAAATTTTTCTTTTTTATTAATAAGGATCACTGAAGTGTGATAAAGCCACTGTGTTGGCTCTTATGGCGTCCTTGATTTTATCACAAGTTTTTTGGACTTTGCTTGAAAAGAATCCAGCAGTGTTTAACTACTACTGTGCAGCCAAGCACGCTAATGTGTCCGAATATTTCACAGCTTAAATCTTAATTTGCTAATAAACTTTGCAATCACTTCTTCAAAAATATATATGTGTGTATGTTGGTGTATTCAATGTACAACCTTTTTATTGTTTTAATGTAAAATATTTTATTATTCTATATTTCCACAGGCGCCTCATAACGGATTCAAAAGTCAAGTTGAAGTACCAGCATTTAATCACAAATAGTTTTGTAGAGGTAAGCTTTCTTGTTTGATATAAAATGGAAAGAATGTTTTTGACAGGAAAAAATAAAATGACTAAAAAGAAGAGAAAAATTAAAGGAAATGAAGAAGGGGGAAAAATTTAAATCAAAAAGCATCAACAACACAATTAGACCCTCTTGAATCTTGTTCACGTGAAGAATAGCTGCCACATGTAGTGCAACAAGTGATGCCAAGCAGTGAGCGTATGCAGATGTTAAAGGATTTGGTTAGCCTAAAAATATCAAGAATTGATTAATGCAAAAAAAATGCATAAGGTATTATATTTGTTAGTCCTTATTGGTTGATACTGTGGTTTGGTATGTCCTCTAGCATTTACCTTTCCCTGAGTTTAAAAGCCTGATAACTTCTTTTTGAATCTTTTTTTCCCCCTTTCAATAAATGTATTCTGAATGGCCTTTATACTAAATAACCACATCACTACGTTTGTACCAAGCTTTATGCAACTTGACTCAGATTTTATCCTTTGTAGCGTGATTTGGCTAAAGTTTAAAGTCATCGTTTAAGTGACTATTTATAAGACAAACTTTAAAAAAAATCTTATTCTAACTTCACTTTAAAGTGCAATCGACTGTTAAAGTGGTGCCCTGCACCGGACTGCCATCATGTTGTCAAAGTCCAATATCCAGATGCCAAGCCAGTGAGATGCAAGTGTGGCCGCCAGTTCTGGTTGGTACACTGTCACAGATTTGCCGCTTGTTATGTTTTTGAAATTTGGGTTGATAGACATGTTGTTTTCGCAGTTTCAATTGTGGAGAGAACTGGCATGACCCTGTGAAGTGTAAGGTATGGTGAATGACAATGCAACAATAAATTCATAAAAGATTATCTTGTGCAAGATTCCAGCGCTTAATCAAAACTGCATTTTCTTATTTGTGCTTTTATATGTTTAATTTTCAGTGGCTGAGAAAATGGATTAAGAAATGCGATGATGACAGTGAAACCTCCAACTGGATTGCAGCAAACACCAAGGTATACAGCCAGTAAGAAGTACTTTTCTGATTAAATACCTGTTCTCCAGCCGAAGTACAACACAGTGTTCACCTTACCTTTACAGGAGTGCCCCAAATGTCATGTGACCATTGAGAAGGATGGCGGCTGCAACCACATGGTTTGCCGCAATCAGAACTGCAAAGCTGAGTTCTGTTGGGTCTGCTTGGGCCCATGGGAACCTCACGGCTCTGCCTGGTAAGAACTTAAATCATAGTTTTTTTACATTATTAAATATGCATAATATGTTTGTCTAAATGTGATTCCTGGTATAACGGTAGAAAATTAATAAATCAGAAAGTTTCCATTCTCTAAAGGCTGATTTATACTTCGAAACTAGGTCATCTGCGTAGGTGTCGCAGTGAACAAAAAGACGTCTCTGCCCCCTTCGCAGACACGCTGCTGCACCTCTCCCAAATTGTAGTTGACCGCAGACAGGAGGCTGGCCTGTTTTGTTTTTATGACTGAAATTGTGGAAAACGACTCGTGAAGATGGACCAGCTAGAAGATCGAGGCACGCGAGAACCCCGGGACCCCTTTTCAACCTGGATCCCTGCTATGCCCCTTCATGTCCCTTCGTTGTCGGACAAAACTTGGCCCCACTTACTCTCCGCCTCGGCTGTATCTAGACCCAGAGCGTATAGCCCAGACCATGCTCTAAATTGAACATAAATCAAAAATGTCTGCGTCAAGCTCACTGCGACACACTGCTGCGGGGAGTCTAACCAGCCCATAGCCCCATATGAAACAACAGTTTAGCCCATTTGATCATGTCATTATGCAAGGAGTGCAGACACTGGACTACCCTCCATTTGAGTTAATTTAAAACTTTGATAGAAATGTCCAGGTAAATATCCTATAACTACTGATGCTTTCAGGTACAACTGCAACCGCTACAATGAAGATGACGCCAAGGCAGCCAGGGATGCCCAAGAGGTAACAAAGTCCACATTTCCCTCAGTCATTTTAATGCTGTTTTTGATACAGTAGGGATGCAAATTTATAAATAAATCTAAAATTGACTTATATTATCGATCAAACTAACGATTCATAAGCAGCCATGTGCTTAAGTACCGGAGTTTGCTGAAGATATTTTCATAGCATGAAGGGTTAAATAGATATTTATTACAATATGCCAAGTTAAAAAAGTGATACATAATTATATGTTTAGCTAAACTGATAAAATAAACAAAATCTTATACATTATTAAATGGGAACCAATTGAGTTACTAAAAAAAAAAGATCAATGATTTACACTAATAAAAGATATTAGTGCAAAATACTAATATTTTTAATTGTATAGAAATGTGAAGCTATGTGAAGGACAGGAATGTCACTCTGGTATGCTTCGTTTCAATAAAGTGGATGGTAACGATCAGCGGTGGGAGAGCGAGCCGTTAGTGGTGCTTTTAAACAGGGGCTTCAGGTTACTCTCAGAGGAATGTTAAAGCTTGGCTCTATGAAAGGCATTAACACACAAAGGCACTCTAGCCTGATTATTGTTAACTTGTCTTGCAATGCTTTGTGTAATGCTCTCCACTTTTCTCATCTTCCACATCTTTTGCTGCTCCACCTTGCAGCACGGCTAAATATATTGGTGATAACTTAAAAAGCTTTTCAAGTGTTTTATATTTCTAAATAGAGTGACATCAAATGCATTCTACATCCTTGTCGCCTTGAAGTTTAAAAAGTCCCTGACCAAACTTGACCCCTTGATCAATTCAAGTTTCTGTTCAAGCATGCCCCTCTACTCCATTGATCTCTATTCACTGGATTGCTGACAGCCCGTTGGTAGTACGTGGTGGAGTGAAGCCACAGGCCGACATATTGGTACTCCCTAGTTAGACCGGTCACAATGCAAACAATATGTGCGCTACAGCATCGAACAACGATGATATCATTTTCAGGGGCGCTTAAGACTTTTAAAATAAAGATAGATTCATCACTTGGACGCACACTGGCTGCTTCATAGCATAAGTAGATTACTGTAACTAAGAAGACTATAAATCATATAATATAACATTATACAAATCCATCACAATAAAATTTATGTTTATGGAGCACAATAATACAGATGTCCCAAAAGTGTTAAATTGATGTACATGTAATGTACATGTATTGTTGAAATTGTTGTAATAATTACGTATTACATCGAATTTCAAGATTTCACATAAAGATTGAATTACAAGTACACGTCTGTTAATGCTATATTATTTTTCCCATTTTCAAGTTCTGCATGCATGATGCCTAAAAATGTTTGATTTGCTTTTTTTCCGTCAATATAACATGCAATATATTTCAGCACAACTTTTCAAATGAGAAATACAACAGATACTACAAAAATGACAGGTCAATCACATAAAGAAGTATTACATTACAAAGAAGTATTATTGACTTTTCACAGTATTATCACAAAATTCACAATATTACTTAATATTTACTCTGCTTTCTATTTTCTAACGTTAGATACAATATCCATGGTTAACTCAGTCAATATCTTCGAGTCAGTCTGAGATAGCCAGACTAATGTTACGCTACATACTATACGTATAGGATACATCAGCGTATGTATGGATTTTCACGGACTGTGAAATTGCCTGTGAAACGTCTTCCCTCAGCCGGCAAACTGCTTGGTTTTGCATGCACATTAGATGGCGCATCTTCAGGGGAGTGAGGAATACCAATATGGCGGCCAGTGGGTTCACTTTTTTCTGGACTATCAGCAATCCAGTGAATAGAGATTAGTGCTCTACTCAGGCATTACTTCTCTTGCAAATACCAGTAAGGCTCTGCTTATGAATCAGCAGTGGCTCCCTATATTGGATGATGGCAACACTGAAATTCCCTCTAAAGCTTGTTTTATACATGGAGCATGTGTGCTCATAGCTTTTATACTCCTTGCAGCTTTTCCAAAAAACACAAAAAAAAAAATAATTTTAAAAACCACATTGAATAAGGAAGTAGAAATAACTTTTCTCTGCTTTTCCAAAGCCTCTTCATGTCATCAAACAGTGACAGTAATTTTATCCTAAGAGTTTTTCACAATCTGTTGATGATGGTGCTATTTATGGACTCAATCACAAGATCTTTCTCGAGTTTTATATTTGTGAACTTTTAACGATGGAGCTGTCACACTTCCAGGTCTTTCCACACAGCTGTTCACAGCTTACTAAATGTTTCAGTTTCTGAGAGTTTCTGTTTTTTTAAGCTCCTTCCTTCCTTCCTTCCTTCCTTCCTTCCTTCCTTCCTTCCTTCCTTCCTTCCTTCCTTCCTTCCTTCCTTCCTTCCTTCCTTCCTTCCTTCCTTCCTTCCTTCCTTCCTTCCTTCCTTCCTTCCTTCCTTCCTTCCTTCCTTCCTTCCTTCCATTATTAACTGTAATTTTCTGTGGTATAGACTTATTTGTTGTATGAACTTTAAAAGTCAGTGTCCCAAACTCTTTCCCCAGCGCTCCAGGGCAGCCTTGCAGAGGTACCTGTTCTACTGCAACCGCTACATGAACCACATGCAGAGTCTGCGCTTTGAGCACAAGCTCTACGCTCAGGTTAAGCAGAAGATGGAGGAGATGCAGCAGCACAACATGTCTTGGATTGAAGTGCAGTTCCTGAAGAAGGCTGTCGATGTGCTTTGCCAATGCCGCTCCACACTCATGTTCACTTACGTCTTTGCCTTCTACCTCAAGAAGAACAACCAGTCCATTATTTTTGAGGTAAGTGTTGCTCAGTATTAATTATGTCAACCAGCAAAGTTTAAAGTCATATAAGTCCAAAGCATGATTTAAAATCTGTCTTTATTGATATGAAGTAGATGTATCTTTTTCCTAAAAAGTGCTATTCAGCATTTTGAGTGTAACTTCTGTTCCCCAGAACAACCAGGCAGATCTGGAAAACGCCACCGAGGTGCTTTCTGGCTACTTAGAGCGAGATATCTCCCAGGATTCCTTGCAGGACATCAAGCAGAAAGTACAAGATAAGTACAGGTATGCAAAATGCTTTTCCAATCAGAATCTTGCACCCATTATGGCCATGGATATCATAATCTTTTGATTTAAATAACAATTAAATTTTTCTTTTTTTCGGGTAGATTAATTATATGAAGAATGGATTTTAAATTATTTGTAAAAAGATTTCGGTAACCAAGTCTAAGCTAATATTTATGCATCTACAAATGCCTCTTTGACTCTTCTTAGCATATTTTTTGTTTGTTTGTTTGCCATCACCATGATTCTGGCATCATTCAGCATTTTACCATTCTTCTTTACAGAATTTGCATTGTCTAAGTTGCTTAATTTAATGATCCTATTAAGTACCTTTAATGCAAGCCTCCTGAAAGCAGGAGGATTGTAGGTCTGGGATCAATAATCTGGTTCAATAACCGCCGTCCAAGTGTTATGGTCCATCTGATGCAATTTGTTCGATCAGTTGAAAGGAAAGTAGTTGGAAACTTCATGAATAATCTAGAAACCAGTAAGGCTCAATGATCGTAAACTGGATGCAGGCAGAACGCCAGTGTAACTGTTTGTAGCAAAGAATTCAGCATCAGCAGGTGGAAAAATGTTAAAATCAAATGAGACAAAGACTTTGCTATTTAACCACAATAAGAGGACGTATATTTTGTGTAGCTTTAAAATATTAAGTTATTAAGTAATATTAAGTGTAGCTTTCAAACTTGTGGATACACTTCACTCATTATATCAAGGGGTTTGTTGCTCAAAGTGAATGGAATGAAGAATACCGTAAAACCTCTAATATTGGCCTGTATTCCATTAGCAGCTGGGTCTATAATAATGGCCTGTCTGGCTGTCGGCGGAGGTAAATACTGGCCGGACTCCTATACAGGCCGGGGCTACAATTAGAACCAACAATGTTCCTGGGCAGTCCTCAACAACTTGTGATAGTAACATACAAGTACCACAGGGGGGCAAAGTTTACAAAAAAAATCCAAGCCATTAGCATTGGAAGTCCCATCCTTAGCGCAGACAGGAGGTCGGCTTGTTTTGGTCGACCGAAATTGTGGAAAACAACTCATGAAGTTGGACCAGTTAGAAGAGCCAGGTGCGTGAGAACGCTGGGACCCTTTTTCCACCTGGATCGCGCTTTTTTGGCCCTCATGTCCCACCGTTGTCAACTACTTGCCCCCACTTCCTCATCGCCTCGGACGTATCTAGACCGACAGTGTATACCGCAGACCACGCTTCAATGTTAAGCATAAATCAAAAATGTTTGCCTCAAGCTCACTAATACACACTGCTATAGGAGTATAACCAGCCACACAATCGTTCTGATCTGAAAGACAAATGTGATTACCGGTAGCTCTGGTGGTAACCAGGCAGCGTTAAAATGACAGAGTTTCGTTGGCCTTCATTGTTCTGAATTTCCCTTGAAATGTATGATACTAGTAGCCTACTTCCACTTAGCCTGCCTCAAATAAAAATTTGCTGTGATGGCAGAACAGTTTCCATTAATTTGTTTTTTAAACTTTGTTTCGCAAGTCAGTTTGGCCAAGATTCCATTGTGTCTTTTTTTTTTTTTTTTGTATTGCCATGCAGAAAAATTGCAGCTCCTGGAAGATGTCTGAATAACGTTCTGTATACCGTTATGGTAACTGTACTTTTTCAATAAATGAACCTAGTATTTTATAGGTTTAAAGAGACACAAAATCTCATTTTTGTTAATTCCACTGGTAGTCTGTTTTGATCAAATAGAAACAGAGGCCTGCCTCTAATTCTGGCCTCCTTCCAATAATGACCTGGACCAAGATGTACCTGAGTGAAATAAAGGCCCTGGCCTATATTAGAGGATTTACGTTTACCTTACAGGATTTACCTGACATTCAATCATTATCGGTCTGCTTGACACTGAGCAATGACTCCAAACACACACAAAAGGAATGAAAATGATCAATGTTGAGCTACTGTTTCGACTCTTGCCTTAAGCCATTTAAAAATGTGCAGATTTCACCTAAAAGATAAGTTCATGCATGGATAACAACAAATAAAGACAAATCTGCCATTTCTGGTAAGAAGAGTGGTAAAATATGGAGCCACTTTTTATGCTGAGACTTTGATGGCTACAAAAAGCAGGGGGGTTCTCTGCATCTTTCATAAAGCGAGAACACATGCATGTGTCTGAATGAGCATCTAAAGTTTTGACGTGCAAAGCTATTGTAGATATCTTTGTTAAACTTCTATCATTGTTTCAAAAACAATGGTTCATTTTGAATGTTAAAGCTTAACATAATTAACGTATATTCCTCTGAACAGAATTATGATTATTTCCCACTTGCTGTAAATGTGGTCTGCATTAAAATTTCTCCTGTGTCCATAGATACTGTGAGAGCAGACGAAGAGTGCTGCTACAGCACGTACATGAAGGCTATGAGAAGGACCTGTGGGAGTACATCGAGGATTGAGGACACGTCCCAGAGCAACGGACTATTGAGTATCTTGACAAACTAGAGCGCTGATGCAATTAAACAGGGCAGCAAGGGCCTTCTGCCGCCTCTCCTTTGGCAACCAACCACTTTTGCATCTTTTTTTTTTTCTGTATTTCTTTAACAAATAAATCTTAAAATAAATTATATTTAAAGAAAGTGTAGAGTAATACAAAGAAAGTGTACTACAGTATTGTTAGCAACAGAAGGGAGTCTTCAGAAAGCAGAAAAAATCCATTGTAAACAAATACATCCTTCTGGCCTGTATTTTAACCCTCCTCTAAACTTCTTTTTTTTGTGAATCTGTTCTGTTTTGATTTTTCTTTTGTCTTTTTTTGGCTTTTGTTTTTAGTTTTTTTTTTTTCCTTTGTTACAGGTGTGAAAAAAAATGTCAACAGCTTTAATTGTCCCGATCGTGTCTGCAATATTTAGTGAACTCCTGGCCTGGATGGCTGAATATTGATGAACTGATTGCAAATGGGGCAAAGACATTTCAGGGGGAAAAAAAGAAGAAAATAAAAAGAACAAAAACAGCAAGTCTGTATTTTTTCAATCTGTAAATAGTCCATATGCATGGAAGTTAAAGAGCAAGAGTGGCACGTGTTTGCATAATTTTGAAATATTTATTCTTTACCAATCTTGAAAAAGATGTACTTTTGCCCTTTAGGTTGAGTCTGTTTACTCCTCCCAGAAGCAGCGGGAGTTTGGAAGCATTGGAAATAACACGTTCATCCCATCGTCATCAATCTGCTCAGATCTCCAGAGAAAAGTTCCTCCTTATCAGTTTAGTCTGGAAGGGAACTAGAGAAGGGTGCTCAGGTGATGAGATAAATGAGTCGCTGAAAGTATATGGTCTAGGTTTTAAAAAAAGACACACAAAAAAACAGTGGAAAAGATTTTACAAGTCAAAAGTAGGAACATACCAGTGCTATTTCCCTCCACGCTCATCTTTTGCTGCTCCATCATCCTTTTAGAGACGCAACCAATTCTTTTCAAGAGCCAAACTGAGTGACATTCACTCTTTTTTTTTTTTTCCTCTCATTTTCTCCTGATGTGGCTTGAGTTAGTCCTGTTAAAGCTCAGCTTGTACCTTGAGGATTAAGAGAGGGTTAGTAGAATGTACTGACAGCACAGCATCGTAGTGCTTCTAATTGGGCTTGATAGCTCTCAAAGTATGCTTGGCGTTAACTTCACTCATGCAGGCAACTCCTTAATGACACATGGTTGTTTGTTGCCCCCTGCGCTTTGAAGAGATCTCTTGCCCTGCAGTATGACTGAACATTGCTTTAAACCAAGCTGCAGCAGATGGGCTTGAGTAATCTGAACAGATGAGGATTTTGGGACAAATCTGAAGGTTTAGGGTTGTTTTTTTTTTTTTGTTTTTTTTTTTTTTTGTATTGCTGATATACTTTTACATAAGAAGTTGTTTGTTTCTGGTTTTCTTTCTTTTTACATGGATTGAGGTTTCAATAGTGAAATATCAGAGCCCCTCCAGGCGCATTGCATTGCTCTGTATGGCAGCTGCCCTGATTGTCAAGCTCTCTGTTTTGTAGATGCTCGTTTATGTCTCTGCGATGTGGCAGTCTTCACAAGGTTTACTGGAGGGGACGCGATCGTTCCAGGCACGTTGCAAGTTGGAAGATGACACCAAAGTGTCAGCCATCGTTTAACTACATCCTTCGCCCTAGTTTCAGATCTTTGGGGAATTGTCTCCCAAATGCTTGTGTTTCAAGTTATTTTATCCTAGCAAAGTATAAACTGTACTGTTTATTTGAATAAATGTCATGAGAAATCTCATTATTGGGAGTGCTGTGGTGTCATTAGAGTAGCTTTGACCTCAAGCAGATTAATTAGCCAGATATCAGGAGATGTGCACTGATGAGTCTCTTCCTGGCTGATACCAATTTTTGGCTTTTTCTTTTAGGTCTGACAATTTTTTTATGATTATTATTACAACACATAAAGGGGGAGAAATGGGCTCCAGGTTCTGTGAAAGATAGTTTTGAATTAAACTAAAAAAGTATGGGATTTCTCATGTTGAGGCATCAACACTTCATTTTAATTGAACTAAAATTATTTACACACATTCTGTTATTGGTGGATTTAAAGGCAAAATATGTTTGGACCACTTGGTTTGATGCTTTTAAAAAAAACTGTAAAATTGTCCGATTTTCGCACTTCTAATCAATCAAAGATTTCTCCTTTATGTATTTAGCACAGGTATACTACAAACCTTCAGAGCTATGTCTTCCTGAAAGGAATCCGTTCGGAAGATTTCTAATATCTTTTTTTTTTTTATTACTTGCCTTCTTTTTTTTTTTTTTTTTTTTTACTTTTTAAGTTTCTACAAATGTTTGCATAAGATGACAAAATATGAATGGATTAAAGTTGCTTAATTATTATTTTTTTTTTGGGATATTGTCTTGCATTAACTTCAGCTACAGCTGTAATCATCACCCTAATCTGCTCTCCAGGACACTCTCTGTTTTCACTGTCTGCTACAAGTTTGTGACCATTTCAGGCTTTTTTAAATTTGTTTTTGGTTTTAAGTTTTGGTGTAACCGAAGCAGCTACTTGCATTAAACCAAGACATCCAAAAACTTTTAATACTTTTCTACATACCTTTCCTTTATGCTATTACAGGTGTTTTATTTCCTTATAGTGTAAAATGTGAGGGGGGAATTAGATGTTTGTTTTTGAGTAAAATATTAAAGTGCAAAATGTTGCAAACACTCTTCTTGCATGGATTGTTAATTATGGACTACTGTTTCAGCATCCACTAGCACAGTCGCGTTTCAGTAAATTGCAATATCATTAAAAGGCTTACTCTTTTCAGTAAGTCGGCGTAAGAGTGAAACTCATTTTCAATACGCACAGTGAGATATTTCAAGAGTTTATTTTAGCTTGTTTAGAGGATTGTGGCTTATAGGTCAAAGAAACAAATTTTGTCTTTTATAATGGAAAATATTGCAGGAAACTGGATTAAAAAATATGAAAATGTTATAAAATAGAGAACTCCTGACTCAAGTAATCCAGCAGCTAGATATTTGCCTTAACAATGAGGGTTGGTCCAGACACTCGATGCTACAAGCTAGCTGTTAGTTGGATCCAGGAATATAAATCAGGGGTCTGCAACCTTTGAAATCCAGTTATTTGAACCTGGATTGAGCCAAATAAATGCACATTTTAATGAAACAAAAGCTGTTTTTTTATTTTTATAAATATCTGCTATAGAAATCTGTTGCAATTTTTTTTTTCTGTTTTGAAATGGAAACATAAAATTCTTGGATTTTCTTTAATACCATGTAAATATTTGTGGGGGGAAAAAAGTTCCTAAGACAATTACAAAAAAAAAAAAAAACGAGGTTATTCAGTTGTTTTAATCAAAAATGCTTTTTAAAAATTTTTTTTAAATCTGCTAAAGTTTCCAAGATGGGCATATGTTATTACATTATACATTTAAACTTTTAGGATCCATTATAGATGGTCCAAAAAAACCTTTGTTGCCCCCCAGCTGCATATTCTAGATCTTTGATATAAATGGAAAACTTAGGAGGAAAGATTTGCTAGAAATATTTTTCAAATAAACCCAGGTTTAAATATGATTGTGAAAGTTGATTCAAGTGTTTCAAAATAACCTACTTTCTGTTCAGACAATCCCAAAACTGTGACATCAGAGGTCTGCAATCTGGGAGGGAAAACAGATCCTACTGTTGCTTAGTAACCCAGAGATTCAGTTTAAAGTGAAGTTTGAACTTCATCTTAAAGTGAAGAACCCAGAGCGGCTGAAAAAACTGGATCCAGAGAATCCAACTTACTTTAGGTCTAAGGGGTGATGTTTCGAGGCTTGGTTCCACAAAGTCTAAGATTAGCATCTGTAAGGAAATTCCACAACAATTTGCTGTCTATTGAAAAGCTTTGAATTACTAATTCCTGATTTGACAATGATTTGCTATCCGATCAGCCAGCAAACCTATGCTGGAATAGAGAATCTTTGTATAAAGGAAGTTGATCTAAAGACAAATCAACCTGGGATTCCTTCACAGCTTAGCAGACATAGTATCTACAGCTCACTACACTGATTTTATAACTGAGGCTAAAAAAAGGCCCAAACCAGGCAAGTACAAAGTGCATATACTGTATCATACTATAGTATGGATTAATCTTAGTTTAAAGCTAAAATCAAAAATAATTTTAACCTTTTAATTTGAAATGCACACATACAGGTGCTGGTCATAAAATTAGAATATCATGAAAAAGTAGATTGATTTCAGTAATTCCATTTAAAAAGTGAAACTTGTATATTATATTCATACATTACATACAAACTCATATATTTCAGATGTTTATTTTGTTTAATTTTGATGATTACAAATGACAACAAATGAAAATCTCAAATTCATCATATCAGAAAATTAGAATATTACTGAAGACCAATAAAAACAAAGGATTTATAGAAATGTTGGCCAACTGAAAAGTATGAACATGAAAAGTATGAGCATGTACAGCACTCAGTATTTAGTTGGGCCTCCTTTGGCCTGTATTACTGCAGCAATGCGGCGTGGCATGGAGTCGATCAGTCTGTGGCACTGCTCAGGTGTTATGATAGCCCAGGTTGCTCTAATAGTGGCTTTTAGCTCTTCTGAACTGTTGGGTCTGGTGTATTGCATCTTCTTCTTCACAATACCCCATAGATTTTCTATGGGGTTAAGGTCAGGAGAGTTTGCTGGCCAATTAAGAACAGGGATACCATGGTCCTTCAACCAGGTACTGGTAGCTTTGGCACTGTGTGCAGGTGCCAAGTCCTGTTGGAAAATGAAATCTGCATCTCCAAAAAGTTGGTCAGCTGCAGGAAGCATGAAGTGCTCTAAAACTTCCTGGTATGTGGCTGCGTTGACCCTGGACCTCAGAAAACACAATGGACCAACACCAGCAGATGACATGGCACCCCAAACCATCACTGACTGTGGAAACTTTACACTGGACTTCAAGCAACGTGGATGAAGTGCCTCTCTTCTTTTCCTCCAGACTCTGGGACCTTGATTTCCAAAGGAAATGCAAAATTTACTTTCATCAGAGAACATGACTTTGGACCACTCACCAGCAGTCCAGTCCTGTTTTTCTTTAGCCCAGGCAAGACGCTTCTGACGCTGTCTGTGGTTCAAGAGTGGCTTGACACAAGGAATGCGACAGCAGAAACCCATGTCTTTCATACGTCTGTGTGTGGTGGTTCTTGAAGCACTCACTCCAGCTGCAGTCCACTCTTTGTGAGTCTCCCCCACATTTTTTAATGGGTTTTGTTTCACAATCCTCTCCAGGGTGCGGTTATCTCTCTTGCTTGTACACTTTTTTCGACCACATCTTTTCCTTCCCTTCGCCTCTCTATTAATGTGCTTGGACACTGAGCTCTGTGAACAGCCAGCCTCTTTAGCGATGACCTTTTGTGTCTTGCCCTCCTTGTGCAAGGTGTCGATGGTCGTCTTTTGGACAACTGTCAAGTCAGCAGTCTTCCCCATGATTGTGTAGCCTATAGAACTAGACTGAAAGACCATTTAAAGGCTTTTGCAGGTGGTTTGAGTTAATTAGCTGATTAGAGTGTGGCACCAGGGGCCATCAATTTTGAACCTTTTCACAATATTCTAATTTTCTGATATGATGAATTTGAGATTTTCATTTGTTGTCATTTGTAATCATCAAAATTAAACAAAATAAACATCTGAAATATATGAGTTTGTATGTAATGTATGAATATAATATACAAGTTTCACTTTTTAAATGGAATTACTGAAATCAATCTACTTTTTCATGATATTCTAATTTTATGACCAGCACCTGTACAATGAACAGGCCCAGAGGATAAGTATTCACGTAGAGGAGAAAAGTTGCAATAGTATTTACTTCCACAGGATGGAGACAAACTCATTTCTGCATTTCTAGGCGTTCTCTCACATTTCCAGTCACACCAATGCACTGTTGGTCAGCTGGGTGGTAGTTCTGCCTTTTCTAATTAGGAATAAATTCCCATAAACAGATTTTCTCTTTCATGTTCTGAACAGATGAGGTAGCTGTTGATTAAGGAAAGATTCGGCAACATGGGGAAGTTTGGTTTGAATAAATGATGCAACCACCTTTCAGTATAAAAACATTTATTTTAAAGACCATAAAGATCAAAACCGTTCACTCTCAAAGAATTTTAAGACCAGTCACACAAAATGTAAAAACAAATGAGGTTAAGTCATGATGGAATGTCAGAATAACACACTTCCATTCCAAAATCTCAGATGGTTATAAAAAAAAAAAAAAAAAAAAAAAACAGCCAAGCAGCTTTATATAAAGTACCTTAATGCCTGCTGAGCTTAATTTGCTCCAGGAACAAACAAGCAGAATATCTCTAAAAACAAATGACTTCAAATTAAGTACTGTAAACATACACATATCTCTAAAAACAAATGACTTCAAATTAAGTACTGTAAACATACACATGCATACATGTGGCACTGTTTGAAATTTGTTTACTTTTTTGTATGAAATGAGAAGTTAAAATATACATCGTGGTCAAACATATTTCAAATTGTATTTTCAGAGTAAAACTCAAAGCCACTGCATGTCAAAGACAAAGTCTTGTCATTTACATCTGAGGTTCAATAAAGAAAATAATAAAACATCCACATCAGCTTCATTGTTGATCTCTTCTGACAACAACCTGTCAAAAGTAAAACCTGAGGAACGTCTAGTCTTCTATTTTAAGCCAGCCCTTCTTGTAGTCCATCATCAGTTCCAGGTAGTATTTCCACTCTGGCTCGCTGTCATACTTCACCTCAAATATGGTTTTCAGAGGGTTGGTATGAGCTTCATGGATGCGAAGCACCTCTCCTCTGTACCACACCTCTGATTTATCATCTTCCTCATAAAGGTGTCGGATTCTTTTCCCCACCAAATCAGGATAGTAGAACCTCATGGCCCTCCTAGCAGTCTGGACAGCTGAGCGCAGGACCCAGCGCCTTCTATGCTCCGTGCTGTGGCAAGCGGACAAGTAGGGGCAGTATTTGATCTTTAGCAGAGACCTTTGTTTAGTTTTAGAGGAGCTGCTGGGGGGCCTACCAGGATGACGGAAGCGTTCTTTTCCCTTCCACCTGCGTAGCGCTTTAGGCATCCTTTGTTGGTCTCTCTCACTGCTTGCGCCCTCTCCAACCTCAGGTTGTGATGGCGAAGACTCGCCACCCATCTCTGACTGTGACACGGCTTCATAGCAAGCCCTTTTTCTCTTCAGGCCCACACTGAGCATCTTCCTCAGCTTAAGAATCATGCCTGAGCAGTTCTTGGATTGGACCAGGCGCTCTGAAGGTGGATTGTCGGGCAGCAGACTTGAGGATCCCTCAGTTTCAGCATCGCTTTGAGACAGCTCTTCCGATGTTAACGGACATGTCCAAGAGTCCTCACCCGATATGCTTTGTGCTGCCTCAGAAGAATCCTCCTCTGCAGCATTGTTATCCGATTCTGTATTCTTTGTCTGATTGACTTCAGGAGTTTTATTTATAGGTGATTTTAGATCACCTTCAACAACCGCCTGCTCTGCATCATTTGCCTGGTTTATATCGGACAAGCTTTTGTCCAGAAACGTATCCTTCAAACCACTCTTTAATGAGCTTTTGGTTTTATTCTTGCAAGGAGGTGGTTCGTTTTCCTCTTCCTTCATGCATCTCTTATGGTGTGGCTCTGACAGAGAGGCTGGGGAGGCAGGGCCGTCATTAGGATCAGGAGTGTCGCTGTTTGACACTTGATGTCCCGCATCTTGTTCTTTATAAAAAGGGTCCACATTTAGTCCTGCAACACAAAGATCATTGCATTTAGAAGACTAAAACACTGGTGGCATCTGCAGAAATACACAGTGCAGAGGTATGGTATACCAGTGAATTACAATATCATCAAAAGGTTAATTTATTTAAAAAAAGAATACAATATTAGATTTTTTTGTCTTAGATTTATTAGTGATACTTTTTTATTTTTTTTTATTTTGATAATGGCCCACAGTTTATTAAAAAAAAGAAAATTTTGTTTCTCAAATGTCTTTATATTATATTAGAGCAGTAAAAAAAAAAAAAAAAAAACTTTTTTTATACAGAAATGTCTTATGGGCTGCATAATTATAGAGGAGTCTGCTGACTCAACAGTCCAGCAGACAAGTAGACACCCCGACTAAGGAGAGATAAATCCTTAAAAAAGAAGCTGGTTTCCCTCACCTAATGTATCCTGTTATTGCAATGGGACATGGAGTAGAAGAAAAACATAAAAAAAGCAATGCTTCATTAACACTGATCAGTGCAAAAGGATGGGTGGTCAATCTCAGACCTACATATATCATACATTTTGGAACTACACTTCTAGACTGTGTCGTTAACATCTACATTAAATCAGCATGAAAAATTACTCTGTTGCTTCTGCAGCAATGATTCTATCTACAATCTGCAACTCAGCTAAGCTCTGAAGGGGCTTTGCTTCATATTCATCAAGACTGTTCCTGCGTACTTTCTTCTACACAACTTTTTCCTCCCCTAAATTATCTATCTCTATATATCTATCTGCTCTGTGAACAATTTGCTTCTTTAGAAGTGCCATTTTTGGCTTGGCCTCCCTTTTGAGGGCATCCATTGATGTCCTGGACAAGTCAGCAGTTTCCTCTATGATTGTCTTGACTTAAATACATTTCTGAAATAAAAGTGCTTTTATTGCTCTTTATGATAATATACCACTTAAATTACAACTTAGTTGTTTTTTTAGCTGTAAGCCATGATGAACAGACAGAGTTTAAATGAATGAAGGTAATAAGTGTAAGAGTTTGGGAGTTAAATTTTTTTAAATCAATTTTTTAATTGGTTTATTAAATAAACTTCTGATGATATTCTAATCGATATGTAATTCTGGGTGGAAAAAAAAAATCAGGTATCTTACAAATCAAAAGGGAAAATGACAGTTAAAGCAGATGGTAGCATTTATTTAGTGCTCAGGAAACATACTGAACAGCAATTTAGAAAGGGAACTTAGAAAGGATCTAAAGATAAACAGATAAATGAGATACAGTCATAGTGAGATTTCCTTCAAGCAAACATTATCCTGTCAACCTCCACCATCTATTAGCCGGGGGTAACACAGTAAACGTGAAGGCTGGGAACACAGTCAGCTGCTACAATGGGTGTCATCAAAGCACCAGTGAGGACAAGAGCAGAAAAGGAGCAAAGGTCCGTTACCAGAGTCAAGTGCCTTAAAAAGCAATGTAAAGCCATGTGCACTAGGAAAAAGGTGGTCATCAGTTCAGGAAAGATTAAGGAGAAACATAACATCCCTAATGATTACTACATGTGTGGCTAAAACTGAACGAATGCAACTTAAGTGAGTCAGAATCGAAGCATGTGAAATTTACTTTAAGCCATCTCACCCTTCCTAAAACCTTCAGCTCCACCATCTTATGTGACAAACACAAAGCAGCGCCTTATTTTGCAGTGTAGGGAAAAATTACAGATGGTCCTAATGAATGTGATCTTTTCAGTTTAGCTTATTTTACGGATAAAAATAAAAAAAATGTGGCGTACATTTGTATTCAGTTTTCTTTACTCCAATTTAAATAACAGCGATTGCAACCAACTGCCTTTAAAAGTCACCTACAGAGTCCATCTGTGTGGGATTTCATATGAGTTCTAAATAAATGAAAAGCTTCAAGTGTTTTTCAGTGAAGAAGAGTGCACAAATACTTAATATATGTTGGTTGAACTCCAACAAGTTAAGAGCTCAATACATGTTTGGCCTTCATAGATGAGAGGTGTGGGCTGCACGGTGCCACAGCTCGAATCGACAGGTTTCCCCCTTTAGTCCAAAAACATTTGCGTTTGGTAAATTGGTCTCTGTAAATGGCCTTTAGGTACGTGTGTTCTTGTCTTGCCTAATGCGCTTTGGTTACGTCATAAACCAGCCCGCCTCACTATTTATGAGGCCAGGTAACTATAACATTTCCAAATGATTCCACTTTTTTCATAGATCAGTTGAGCTGGCCAGCCTTTCCCCTATAGGCAGGAAAATCAAGTAAAATTACAGAAACTGATATAAGAGAAAGATTTCCTGCTATTTAATCATGGAAAAGCAAAGAGATGTTAATTAAAGGTCAGACTTATAAAACAAAAGTACACATATATACCTGGACTCTCTTTTGGACATCAGGTGAGGGTGATTCTGTAAAAAAATAAATGAATTTTATGTTGCATAATTGTTCTTCATTGTGCTTTATTCGTTACCAAAAAAAAGGGCCATCGCAGCAGAAAACTTGGATTAGACCAATTAAAAATAATTAATCAAAAAATGGGAAGTTTTGGAATGGGACAGAGAGCACTAAAAACAGAAGTGCAGTTCAGAGCCATTAAAAGGGGATGTCCTAAAAATAAGCAAGCTTGCGTTGAGTTTACTTCCAACAAACGTCTTGCAGAAAATGCAAAACCAAAACAAAAAAGAAACCCTGCAGAATATAAATGAAGCAGAATGTGCAGATTTCATCTCATCAAATCATTAGATCTTCTATCTGCTTTTTTGTGTATTTTTAGCTTGCTAACATATTCTTAATATCTCAACCTTAACTGTGGACACAGAAACTTTTCACTGACTGGATTCTTAGAAGTTTGTTTCAGCTAAAAGCGCCGTTTTGTTAATGAGTGATTTAATGCCATATTAAAAGGTTCAAAGATTATTCTGGTTTTCTGTCCTGTATTCCCTATTCACCAATTTCCCATGGTTATCTGAACCCTGCTTTTATTATAGACATGTTTTACAATTATAACACCATTAATTTTAAAGTAAAATTATGGCATTAGAGGCACCTAAAAATGAATTACAAAAAACTCATTTGTAGGAACATGTGAAGAGTAAAAATAAGATCACATTTGAAGTGATATATATACACACATATACATATATATATAGATATATATATACATACACCTTTTTAGTCATGTCTTGTAAAGAAGTGCTCATTTCCTGTTAAAAAGCACTTTATCTTTTTACCAAAGTCCCTGTTCTGAGCAGCAGATTTTTCGTGGCTTTCTTTCTATTTATCAGCAATCGCTCTCGGATTTGTTGCATTCAGGAATAACATTTGTGCTTAGATTCACCCACCTGAGCTGAGGCTCCTCTAGAGTTACTTTGGACCAGTTGGCTGATTTCTCTTGTTTTCTCTTGGTTTTTATCAGCCTGCCAGTTTATCTGGGTGGTAATGTCCTTATTGCTTTGTACCCGAGACATGCTCTGTTCATTTTCTGTTGACCCATTGAGCGCAGCTCCTCGAGATGTTTCGGTTTTTATTTTATCCTCAGCCCTCACGGTACCGCTGGATTTGTATTAAGATTACCGTAGATTATAAAAAAAGAGGTGAAATTAAACTACATTTACTTAGATTTCTAAAGGCGATTTGATGCACGGAATTTTATTTTAGGCTAAATGCATGTCACATATTTTCTGTTGAAAACCATTCCTCAGTATCATTTAAAATTGCATTTATGCACTTATTTTATCATATAAGATCCCTATTAATTGGTATACGTTTCTGATTATAACATAAAAAGTTTAAAGCTACAGTGTGTAATAATTACAGGGATATACAGTCAGAAATGTAATATATTATACATAACTATGTTATTTATCAACATCTACGAGCTCAGCCTCTTAACCTTAATATTTGCGTTGCCTTAGAAATCCTTATTTATAATTACATAGGAGCGGGTCTCGCAGCCATGGAGGCAGACATCTTTGCGCTACGGCAGCGCAGAGCCAACAAACTAGCGATTGCGAGATCGCCAAAACGTCACGACGATGTAGAAAAAATAACGGGTATATTTATTATCTTAAGTCTACATGAAATCTATACCCTGCACAGACTAATGAAATACTATCTGTAAAATTATCTATGTAAACAAACCTCATCACTTGAGAAGGTAGGTGATGCGGACGTCGTGGAAGACATTTTGTCCCGTAACGCTCGCCGTACTGTTGGGGGGAGAAGCGGTGGGGGGGAGATGTTCATCTTGCTGCAGTCTGCAGTCTGACCGCTAGATGTCGCTAAAAGTTACACACTGTAGCTTTAAGGTATATGAAAACTTTTTCAAGACCCTGTTCATCTGTTGGTTTATTCTTTCTCCAATTTTATTCATTTTGATGCAACAAAGCTGTTTTTCCTTTGACTACCGCCCTCTAAATAAGTTTTGCTATAGCTGTAAAATTTGATGGAAAACTTTATTTTTAAAACATTCAGCGAAATCACTTGTCTAGTTCCTAATCATTTAAATGCTGTATGTCTAGCAGGAAACATTTGCCAACCAAAGCAGCTGTTATTAGTTTCAGAAAGGAAGAACTGAGAAATATTAATCACACCTAATCCCAAACGTGGAACGAGAGTTAAGTGTTGGACCAATCTGGACAGACAACACGCAGCAAGAAGGACCTACTCACCCAGATGTTTGCACACATATGTGTAGTAGAGCAGGTTGACGGCCTCGGTGTAAATGTCCGGCAGGTGTTTTATTGACATCAGCCTTCTGAGCTTGGAAGAGCAGGCTCGCTTATGAAGCTGGATCAGGATCTTCTCTTCAGACAGCGTGGTGGGCCGCAGCTCCACCTTGTGCTCCTGCAGCACTTTGTCAACGAAGCTGCCTTGGACTGTGGGAAACAGCAGCTCCTTGACCACCAGCATCGGGAGAAACACGGCGCCTGTCCGCATTACGTACGGAAAGGGACAGTGTTTCTGAACCGTGTATTCCCTCAGCCTCTCCAGGACCTCTTTGAGTGCTGTTCTGATCTCCTCATTGATCCAGGCCTCTCTTGGTTTCGCGCCCAACAGACACGGCACTATTTGGTCCTTGCATGACTGAGATAAAGGCTCAGATATTTCCAGCTGAGACAGCCATTTTTTAAGGTCTTGCTCTGAAAAGGCAGACACTGATTTAGATATTAAGTTGCAGAGGGACTGGTGCAGCTCTAAGAAGTGCTTTCGTACTGGAGTTTGGAGCTTCTGTTTGGTTGTGAGTGCGGCTGTGGGCTGCGGGAGTGGATTCTGCTCTGCATGTTGGGCAGTCTTGCAGTGCTTACCATCAGGAAGAATGATATTGTAGGTGGAAAGTTTAAGACAATGAGGAGGAATGCTTTTAAAGCTGACTTTCCCTGGAGGCGGCACAGGACTGGGATTTGGTTGAAATGTAACCAGGCGGTTTCTTAATGTCTCATCCTGATGATTTTGGTTTATTTGTTCAGTCACCTCAACAGGTTTCAATTTATCTGATGATATATTTTCACTTGCAAATGAATTTTGTTTTTCCACTTCATTAGATTCGCATTTCTCTTTCAAAGCCACAGGCAATCTGTCGGGTGACTGAGTCACCTTCGGCTCTTTCTTCATTGCTTCTCTTTGGTTTTCTGTAGAGTTATTTACACCAGGAGAATCGACTTTTTCCACTTTAATCTGTGGAGCTTCTACAGAAGATGCATTGGCTGAGGTTTTCATGGAGCTTTTAGATTTGAGGCGGATAACAGATTCCTGATCATTTTGATCCAACCTCTTCTCTTTGGTGTTTGGCTTGAGTTTGTCGTTGTGTTTCTCAGAAGTCTGGTTGGGTTTCTGCTGCTCCCTTCCTGGAAACAAAACTCCTGATTGCTGCAGGTGCAGCTGGTAAGGTGCCAAGCTGAACACAGTGTCAATAACTGGCATAGGAGGCGAATCAGTTTTACCATTTGCCGTGGCTTTCTCCGTTTCCACCTTTTGTCGTTTGTTGTTGGTACATTCCACCTCATACACATCCTCATCTTCTACTTTGGAAGGAAGAGATGAGTGAGAAACACTCCTCTTTAGGCACTTTTTATTGTCACTGCTTCCTGCATCAGACACTGGCCCATTGTGCCTGCTTCCTGTTGCGACGGTGGGGGAGTAGATAATTTTTCTGACATTATTAGGCACAGCTGCATGGTTTCTGACAGAGCAGTGGTTGGGTGATGGGGTCGGCCATGCTGGGGAGACGGGAAGACTTTTTTGCTGTTTCTCTGGGGCTTCAATAGGGGAATGGTCCCAGTTTCTGTCCATGTTAACTGCAGGTCGCGTTTGAGCTGGTGGTTCTATGTAAAGGCTGGTAAATGGTTGGAAAAACCGGCCAATTTGAACGCTGGATGGCGAGACGGGAGCCGGGTTCATGTGTCTGGCAGGACTGCTTTTGTTCACCTGTATGAATGATGAACAGTGTAGCTGGTCAATCTGTTCGGTGGTTTTGGGTTTCTCTTTGAGTGTAGGGTGATCAATGTGTTGGCTGGACGAGGACGCATTTATACGACTCGGGTGATATGAAGATAAGGAGTTTTGCCTTTTTGAAGGGGCTCTGATTTGGCTTGGATTAAAGTGAAATCTTGGAACTGTGTAACACGGATATTCATAACCCTGCAAAAAAGTATGATTTGGCAACCTTTCAGGGCAAGACAGAGGAATATCAGAGCGATGTGGCCGAGACACTACGTAATGCTCTCGGGGGGTTGAGATCGAATGCTTATAAAGGAGAGGTCCATCTTCTGCCTGTTTACTACCACTCTCTTTCCTCTGCGTCCTGTTTTCCACCTCCCCGTTAGTCTGGGAGTAGTAAAACCCAGGGTGCTGTGTTAGCTGGCCATATTTGGACAAGGGAGAGCATTCCTGATAAACCTCTGAGGTCATATTCTCATATGTGGGACGGGGGGCGTATAGGCTGGGGTAGCCTGTGGGGGAGGTCTGCAAGGGCTGACTACCAGGCTGTCTGAAAGAACCAAACAGTGCACGGCTTGAGGGGCAGGGATAACTACTGTAGCTTGGCTCTATCACAGAGGGCAGAGTTCTGACCCTGCTTGGACTGTATCCCTCCATTGTCACCTTCTTCAGCTGTTCTGTACTGCACTCGAACTGCAAGTCTTTCTGCTGAAGCAGTGCCTGTTTTCTCTGAATAGGTAGCTTTTCAAGGTAATGTCCATTGGCTTGCATCCAATCATGTTCATGAACAGTGTTTGGTATCCTAGGAGAGATGTGCTCTATACCATATCTGTGTCCTATAACACAGCCCAGTTCATTACAGCAGGGGCCGAGTCCATAAACTGGCTTAGGAATCGCCAGGTAAACAGAGCTTTGCGATGGTGAGAGGGGGTTCTCGCCTCCTGATTTGGTTTTTCTAAAACCCACAGAAGAAACAGCTTTTGGACTGTTCGTCTCAGGACTTTTGGTGTAGACTGTAAAACCCTTCTTTACAGGGCTGTGATGATCTCCCTCTGAAGAAATGCTGTCCTTCCTGTGTGCCATGTGGTTTTGTAGCATTCCTGATAGGTGACTCAGGTGACTCACGGGACTTCTGTCATCTATTGGAGACGTCTTCGGGTGGCTCCAAGGAGGGGTGAATCCATCCCTTCCTTTAATTCTGGGTTCATAAGTAAAATAGGCTCCATTGTACTGCAGACTCTGCCTACCCAGGAGACCGGGCATGGCTTGCGGTTTTGACAGTCCGCTGGATGCTACTGTTCCATCAAATAAGGGCATCTTGCTTCGAAATCCCGGGTCTGCGAGGGTCTGTATCGATTCGCGGCTCATCCTCTGGCGATGCTAAGAAGCACTGATATGGCTCCAAACCTGGCAAAATATATAAAGAAAAAAAGAAATGTAAGATTTAGATATTTAAAACAAATGGGCATTTTAATAGATTACAAAAGAACCGAAAAGTTTAACAATTATTTGAGTAATTGCATACAAACGGTTAGACTTTTAAAATAGTCTTTAAACACAGAGTTTCATTTTAAAGTTACATTTTTTTTTATGTTTATGATCATGGCCTACAGCTAATGAACAAGTGAACAACATATTTCACCCAATTCTAAAAAGAACAGGAGTAGTAAAAAGGTTAAATGAAGACATGTTTAACCACGGTCCTGTTACGGTTTGGACGATCATGGGAAAGACGGCTGACATGACAGCTGTCCAGCAGACAGGTTGTAAATGACCCGATTTCCAATTTAGTTACAAGACATATTACAACGTGAAGTTATTATTTATTTATTTATTTTTGCTTCCATTAATTTTGTGAATATACAATGCTTTACATTTTACCTTGTTTTAAGAGGCTTTATTTTGAAAGTACGCGACGTTTCTAGTTAGTGGCTACAGCGAGATACGGAGAAGAAGAGTCTGAAATTGAAACGTAGAAAAAGAAGGAAAGAACGTTAAAATATTACTTCTTATTTTAAGGACTCGCACCCTGCGAAGTGGCACAAGGTTAGTCCTTATTTGATAAGACATGTTTAATATGTGTTCATGTGTTTAGAAATGCTTGTGAAAAACTTTTTTTTTGTTCGTTATTAAGTCTCTGTAGCTTATGTATAACGGGCGGATTTTACATAGTAACGGCCAGTACCGTAATACATTTTTTCTTCTGTGCTTTGCCTAGCTCTTACGTTGGTCGGTTAAAAGGATTATTGTGGACAACGATGATACACTAATAAACAATAAAACCATCAGTCAAGTGCTGACCATCATTCGGGGGAGATGCGACAGTAAGAGCTTCACCTGCACCTGCTTCAAAGAGCTGCTTACGCAATCTACGGACAGCACGGAGCAAGCAGCAGTGAATCGTAGCAGGTGTAACGGTCAAGAGAGACGGTAAGGACGAAACTACATGCAAAATGGATGATGTGAAGGAAGAAATAAAGAAGCTACAAACGGAAATAGAAGAAAGTAGAGGCTTACTTCATCAAGGAGAATGCGAAGGCATATCAAGGCAGGAATTAAAGAAGTTAATTGAAAGCAAAGAAAAACGAATAGCCGAACTTAAACATGAAATGAGTGAGAAGGAGGAGGAGCTTTTTTCACCGCGACGTACACAACGTCTTCATAAACCTACTGAAAGAATGCAGGAATATCAAATGGATGAATTAACTAAAAAGGAAAAACGTTTGCTCAGCCTGTATGAACAATGGAAAATTCTAATTAGAGCTTCCAGAGAGAATTTAAAGAGAGACATATCAGAGTCTGAACTGGCCACTATGGCAGATGATGTGGAGAAAGGAATGAATGAAATAATGAAACTTTATGGAGAAATAAGAGAAAAAGTTACACCAAGCACTGAACTTAGAAGAAAAATTGATGCATGTGAGGCTGTAACAAAAGACATTGTAAAAATAATTTTAGAGCGTTTAGCAGCAATAAGTGGAGATTTTGATGAAGAAAATGAAAGGCGCCGTCTCCACCAGCTACTAGCCAATGACTATGCTCACTCAATATATGGAACTGCCTCTCAGTCACGAGCTAGTCATTCCGACTTGATAAGCATAGCTGCTAAAAGAGCCGAAGCAGCCGCTGAATTTGCTGCTAAGGAAGCGCAATGCAGGGTAATGCAAGAAGAAATAAAGCAAAAGGAGAAAATAAGGTTAATGGAAGAGCAGCACAAAAGGGAATTGGACATACAGAGGGCTCACTTAGAACGCCTACAAGCAGAAAGAGACAGAGATGTGGCTCGTGCCAGACTTGAGATTTATGATCGAGAAATCGAACAGGAAAGTATGTATCAGCCTATACAGCCAGACACCAGACAGCTTACTTTCCACACACATGCAGATCCTCAATCCCTTCACACAGTTAAGCCAGCACCCCTAACTGATGCCTCCTATCTGGCTCAAGCAATTCAAGATAGCATAGCCACACACAGACTCCCAATTCCAACACCTACAGTGTTCAGTGGTGATCCAATCCACTACATTGAATGGCGAGCCTCATTCCAGTCGCTCATTGACCGAAAGAATATTTCCTCTGCTGATAAACTCTATTACTTAAAAAAATATATCAGCGGCGCAGCTCAAAAATGTCTTGAAGGCACGTTTTACAGAAGTGATGAGGAAGCATACAGAGATGCTTGGAATAAGCTTGACCAACGTTATGGGCAGCCATTCTTAATTCAACGAGCTTTTAGAGACAAGCTGTCAAAATGGCCAAAAATTCAACCTAAAGATGCTGAGGGGCTAAGGACATTTTCTGATTTTCTGAACGCATGCTTACAAGCAATGCCCCATGTGAGAAGCCTAGAAATATTAAACGACTGTGAAGAGAATCAAAAGCTGATGCTTAAAATACCAGATTGGCTGTCGGCTCGTTGGAACCGTCAAGTCACTAAGATCCTCATGGATGGTAGAGAATTCCCTTCCTTTAAGGAGTTTGCCAACTTCCTGTCTCTGGAAGCAGAGATCGCGTGTAATGCTGTCACTTCACTTCATGCTCTCTACTCATCTAACGAAAAAAAAGGGGCAAAGGAGTTAAAGGGAAACAAAGCTAACGTTCTCAGCACACAAGTGGCTACAAATGATAATTCGTCAGTTAGCAATATAAAGTCAAAACACCCCTGCATGTGGTGCAAAAATGACAAACATCAACTACATAAATGTCCAGACTTCATTGAACAGTCTTTAAATGATAAACGGAAATATGTGAAGGAAAAAAGGTTATGTTACGGTTGTCTCAAGCCAGGTCACAATGCCAAGGAATGCCGTTACCGTCTTACCTGTGACGTATGTAAGGGGAGACACCCCACCTGTCTCCATGATGACAACTACAAGGCATGTGAAAGGCGAACTGAGCTACATTCTACGTTGAAAACAGATTCTAACGCCACAGAAACTACAGAAGCCAAAGCCCTCAATGTCACTGCAGGAGGACAATCATGCAACACCTCCATGATTGTTCCTGTTTGGGTGTCTCTGGCCACCAATCCTTTAAAGGAGAAGCTCGTCTACGCATTGCTGGACAGCGACAGCACAGCGACAGCGACAGCACATTCATCAACAACGAGGTGAGCAATGAGCTGCAAGCAAGCATGCAACCTGTTAAGCTAAAGCTTACCACTATGCTAGGAGAGAACATGATCGTGAAATGTGAGTGAGTAATTGGACTCAGAGTGAGAGGCTACCATTCAGGCATCCACATCGACCTTCCTCCTGCATACACAAAAGACTGTATTCCAGGCAACCGCAATCATATACCCACTCATGAAACTGCACATCGATGGCCTCACTTAAGTTCCATTGCTGACAAGGTTCCACCTCTTCTCCCCTGTGACGTTGGACTTCTGATCGGGTACAATTGTCCTAGAGCTTTAACACCTAGACAGGTATTAACAGGAAACGACAGTGAGCTGTATGCAGTTTGTACGGATTTAGGTTGGAGCATTGTGGGCAAATCAATGCCAAACTCAGATGGAGCAGAGACTAGCCTGTGTCATAAAGTCTCTGTAAAGGAACTTCCTCCAATAACACCAATGGATGTGATTAGCGCACTAGAGTCAGACTTTAAGGACATGAAAGGGGATGACAAAACAGTATCACAAGAAGACCTTGGTTTCGTGGAAAAACTGAAAGAAGGCATAAGACAAAATGAACAGGGACACTACGAAATGCCATTGCCTTTCAGGCACCGACCACACTTACCTGACAATAGGAAACTCGCAGAAATCAGACTTAGTCACCTGCGAAAGAAGTTTTACAGAGATGAGAAATATAAAAGAGACTACACATTGTACATAAAAGAAAGCATAGAAAGAGGTGAGGTAGAAGAGGTGCAAACTGATGGAATCCCAGGGGAGCGATGGTACATCCCCCATCATGGCATATACCACCCAAAAAAGCCTGACAAGCTTCGCGTTGTATTCGACTGCTCTGCGAAGTATTGTGGCACAAGCCTCAACGAACATCTTCTCCCAGGGCCCGATATGATCAATAACCTCACTGGTGTGCTCCTACGGTTCAGACAGCATCCAATTGCACTTATGTGTGACATAGAAAAAATGTTTCATCAATTCCATGTGCCTGAACAGGATCGTGACTACCTGCGGTTCCTATGGTGGAAAGACGGAGATGCCAGCACAGAGCCTCAAGACTACCGAATGAAGGTCCATCTATTTGGCGCAGTGTCATCCCCTGGTTGCGCAAATTATGGGTTGAAGAACCTTGCTAATGAGAACAGACGCTCACACCCAGTTGGGTCACAGTTTGTAGCAAGGGACTTTTATGTAGACGATGGCGTCACAAGTGCAGATACGGTTGAAAAGGCCATTCGATTGGCGCAAGAGGCAAGAGAGATATGTGGCAAAGGGGGGCTCCGTCTCCATAAATTCATCTCAAATAGTGAAGCTGTTCTACAGAGTATACCCTCATCAGAACGGGCCATGGAAACAAGGACAAAAAAATTGACTTTCTCAGACACCCAGCTAGAGCGAGCTCTTGGGATTCACTGGAGCATTGAAGATGATAGTTTTAGATTCAGCAACACTCTGGCAAACCAGCCTGGGACACGTAGAGGCATATTGGCTACAGTCGCCTCCATATACGACCCTCTAGGATTCCTGTCGCCGTACGTCCTTACTGGAAATAAGATTTTGCAGGAAATATGCCAACAAGGTGTCAGCTGGGACGAACCCCTGCCTGAAGCACTGAAGCCACGGTGGGAGAGTTGGCAACATGACTTTGCAAACCTAGAAAAGATCCATATAGCTCGATGTTACGTACCTGTTGATTTCGGAGACGTCATAGAAAAGGAATTGCATCACTTTTCTGATGCAAGCACAAACGGATATGGACAATGCTCTTATTTAA